GCACTGCAATTTCCAGATGGAAACCTGGGTGGATGGGGTCAGCCCCCCTCAGACTGACTCAGCTATTTAAAAAGCCCATAGAGAAAATTACATCCCCTTTCTGGGCCTCAGTTTACTCATCCATAAAATGAAGAGGTAAGGGGCACCTGCGAGGCTCAGTCGGTTAAGCATCTGCCCTCTGCTCAGGTTATGATCGCAGGGTCCTGGGATCGTTCCCTGCTCCGTGGGGAGCCTGCTTCTCCCTCCCCCTCTGCCACGCCCCAACTCATGCTCTCTCTCTCAAATAAATAAAATCAATAAAATATTTTTGAAAAATGAAGAGGCAAGGCATGACAATTGACATGAAAGCTTCCATTGTCTGTGAGGGTAGGAACTGGAGCCCAAAGCTGGCCCTCGGAGAGCTGAAGGCCTCCTAAATCATGGGGATCCTGCACAGATAAGGTGGATAAGGCGAGCTGGCCCTTTCTTTGGTCCGCAGCTCACTGCTCACAGGACCAGAAGTGGTTTTTTCTGAGGATTTTCAGAATTCCGTCAAGGGCTTTAAATTACCCTTTTGAGTCACACACCTTGTTAATCCACAAAGAAAGGCAAACCAGAAGTCCCCCTCCAACTAGCATACCTCCCTCTTGAGATGCTACCTTGATAAAAGGAAGCCGAAGCCCAGCCAGACACGGGAGTGGGGGGGGTGGGCGGTGGAGGGGCTGCCAGGCATTTTCTGTCCCTGTCCCAAGGCTGCCCCTGCGGAGGGCCTCCGCCCTTCCCCTCTATTCTGCAGACAGGTGTCGCTGACATACTCACGGAAGGGTGGAAGTCTCAGAGAGGGGACACAATTTGCCTAAGACCGTTCAGCTGGTGGAGGCTGGAACCAGATCCAAATCCAGGTCTGGATCCAAAGCCCAGATCTTTCCACCTCATGGGGCCTCTCCTCTGCTGCTAACTGTGTGGTCAGCAGGGCTCCTCTCCACTCCCAGAGGGGAAAGGAAATCCTGATAAAAGCAGGGAGCCTGGGGCTAACTCAGGACAGCAGCCAGAAACAAGTCAGGAGTCTCTAATTCCCTAAGGGATCCCCCCTTGGAGTTTTATCACACCTTGAAAAAGAAAGACTGGCTTTGCTTTAAATGGTTTTATTAAAAATTGTACCAATCGATGGGGGAGAATATACACACACACACATATGCATGTGAAGAACAGAAAGCCAAGTATTCTGTACAGGTTAAAAAACAATAGGTCCCCATTTCCCTCCCTCTCTTTCCCTGTCTCTCTCCCAGAGGCAGAGTGCCTAGGACCCAGGACAGCTAACCTGGGCTAAACAAAATGCTACATTCTCACTGGGTCTCCCCCTGACAGCCCCTGTGGACCCAGGGATGGGGCGGCCCGCTGGGCAATGCTCAAAGAACAGGGAGAGGTGCCGGCCACCCGTGCAGAGAAGGGGGCAGGGCAGACCCGGCTGCCATCTCCCAGCTCCCGTGGCCTGCAAGGCTGGTGCATCTTTGGAAGAGCTCGGCTTTCTGTGCTTTTCCCTCAAAGCTCCAAGTCCCCACCAGCCAAGGTGCTCCCTGCCCACACTGTGCCCAGGAGGCTTCGAGGGCTGGTAAGTCAACACTTTCCTGGGCCAAGTCCAGCCAAGGTCCAGCATCCCACCAAGGATCTGCCTGCACCCGGAGGGCCCTGCAGCTTCCTGCAGCCCAGGCTGAACGTTGATTCCCAGAAGCCCCGCAGAGCCCTGGAGGCAGAAGTCTTTTTGTTTTTGCTGCTCTCCACTCTCCATACGCCCTCTTCATCAAATCCATCAAATGGCACAAGCTTGCCAGCTCTCAGTGGGCTCCTTGCTGACTGGGGCAGGCGCAGTGGCTCCCCAGCCCCCACTGGAGGCCGTGGCTGGACCATCTCAAACAACACTGCCCACCCCCCCTCCTAGGCCCAGGCTGGAGCCACCCCATGGATGAGGCTGGGCCACTGGGAACAGTGAGACAACAGCTGGGCCCCTCTGAGTGTTTGGAGCATGCCTGACACATAAGCTCTAGACACAGACCCACACCCCTCAGGGCTTGGGGAGGTCACTGGGAGGTGATCTTTCTCTCCCTTGCACTGAGCAAGAAAAGGCCACGGGGACAGCTCTCCAGCAGCCCAAACTTTGAAGCAGGCAAAGGCAGAGAGGCCACGCCAGGGCCTCCAACTCACTGAGGGAGTCAGCTGTCTGGCCTGAGTGGGGTTCTCTCCCCAGTTCTGTCTACCAGCTTCCAGAAACTCTAGGGTTCTGAACTGAAGGGCTCTTTTGACCCTGAATATCAGGCTTCCTCCCTCCGGGGCTTTTCTATAATGAGAGGGAGGTTTCCCAGCCCCAGCCCCAGCCCCTCTCCCACCCCTCACCCTTAGCAAACCACAAAAACTCCACAAGTCTTTGGCTGGTTACAGGTCAGGAGCCAGGTCAGAGTCTCCCTCCCTCCAAATCTGATTCTCCATCCCCTAACTAGAGACAGCCAAGCTCCCGGGGGTGGGGGATGGGAGATGGGGGCCCAGAGAGAGGGATGTGTCTCCTGAGGCTGGACTTGAGGAATGTTCAGACCAACTCACCAGGCAGAGGGGGCAGGGGCCAGTCTAGATCACTAGGCCAATTAAAACCAGCCAGCCAGAAGGAACCTCTCTTCTTCCAGGAGCTATTTACCTCCTGGGTGTTTTGGGGGAAAGGGAGAAGGAGGGGGTTTTAAACTGTGCCCCAGCTTGCTTAGGATAGTGAGTTAGTTCCTGGCTTCCCGTAAGATGGAGACAGTGCAGTCAGACCACCCTCCATCTGGCCCCAGGCTCAGTGTTCAGGTGGGCTTGTCAAACGCTGGGCTCCGTCCTCAGGGTAGGCCACAGGACATCCTGCCTGGGCCTGGCAAGATCTCTGAAGCTGATGGCTTTGCCTCAGCATCGAGGCCCTGGACCATTTATTTGTTCTCTCACTCAGCTCACTCAGAAGTCCACTAAGAGGGGTTCAAAGTGGCTGGCAGAAATAATCCTGGTTTTCTTGTGTGCCACTAGAGCATACACCAGCAGCCTGCCTGTCACCGCCTTGGTCCAGAAGAGGGGAAAATGGCACATGTCCAATGCACGTCCTAAAATGGTGTGAAGACACGCAAAGAAGGCTGCATTTCACAATGGTCAGCGTGTCCCGGAGCCGGTCTTCACCTGTTCCCTGGGCTCTTCCTTGTAAGCAGGAACCCATCTTCTTAGCAGACAAACCATGGTACACACCCTGAGAATACAATTCTAGCCAAGTAGAGGTAATACCTCCAGAACATCCAAGCAGAACAAAACAAAGGCTAATGTACAGTTTGAGGTCTTTCACCTTGGGGCCACTGAGCCCATATGGCACCTTCGTGCAAATTAGGGAAGGCACCCCTTCCTCTGAGCAGATGTAGCCCCAAACTAGGGCATATAGCCTAGTGGGCATAGCATGAGCTGGATTTCAGCTTCCATTACCTTCTTCAGCAGGTACCCTTGTGCAGTGAACAACCTGCCCAACTACATCCAGTAGATTAATGCTTCCTGAAGACCTCCTGTCTGTAGAACGGGAGGAGCTTGGACTTGTTTAGATTTGAGAGTCTACTTGGACTCCTCCAATTTCCTTGGGTAGCCCTGAGGTCTTCTCTCTACCCAGGGAAGCCACCTTTTCTTTGGGCCCTGCTTCATGTTAGCACCAATGTTATCTTTTCTTACATAGGCAAAAATTATAATTTAATTTCCATGTATCTGGTTAACAGATTCCCTGTGTCTTTTCAGATTCCCCGCATCTGCTATCAGAGCTGCCAGCCTGGCTGCTTTAAATTCTCTCCATTAGTGCCACAGCAGGGAGAGAAGGGAAGTTCAGAGGCAGCTGCGAGCCTGCTAAGCTCCAGAGCACGCCCTTCTGGCCTAGCTGGAAGCTGAAGGAAGCCAGGAAATGTGTACCCAGCTTTGACGGTTCCATGCTCTAATCATTGTTACTCCAAAAGACACGGTTCAGCTGACAAAGCCACGGTGCTGGCTTCTTCCTGTATCCCACTAGGTGTGAAAAAGGAATGGGGAAAGTGGGAGGAGGTATGTTGTTTCCAAGGAAACCAAGGGGTCTGGGTTCCTCTCGGGCTGACTCTCACAGGTGGGATGGCTACCACATTTCCCAGCCCCCCGGTAATCCTGCCCCAGTTGTGCCCCAGAGTGCTGACATTGGGGGAGGAAAGCAGTCTGTTGGCCGGGTCTTTTCAAAGAAGAGCTGATGAAGGCACAAACTGCTGGTGATGGCACGTTCCTTGGCTATTTGGCTCATCTGTGGTGGACACCCAGGCCAGTCCCAGGCACCCAGAGGTGACAGGGGTCCTGCACCTCGGGACCAATCCTGGCGCCTCTGAGTGGGAGCAAGTAAGACTCGAGGCCTACCCAGAAGTTTGGTTCACTTTGCGGCACTTTTGAGGGGTCCTTGGAGAAACCCAACCCTGAGGTCTGCTGGAGATGACAGGAGCTGGGCGAGAATCCCTGAGCCCTTGGGGCAGGCACGGGGTGGGCCAAAGGAGAACCCAGATATGGAGCTGGCTGACTGGCCTCAGTGGAAGTTGCCATGCTCAGCTGGAAAGCCCCTGGCCGAGGCCCTGGGGGATGAAAGCAGTGTGACTGGCGGATCTCGGGCCCGACCACGGTGGAAGGCTGAGAGCGCTGGCGGGACGAGGAGTCTAATCCAGTCTCCTAGTTCTTAACCAAGCTCCTGTGGGAAAACTACAGTCCACTCGCTGGAGAACATCACTACCTGGTCATCTTCAACAACAGCTCACTGAAGACTTGACTTGTCAGAGCCCTTGGGACGTCCCACATCACAGACCCATCAGCCTCAACTTCAACAGTGTTTGACAAAGGCCCTCATTCCTGGTCGAGGTCCTGAACAGGGAAAGAGACCCCGCTTGGGGTATGTCTTATGTACACAGAGAGAAACTTTGAAAATGCAAACGCAAAACAGCAATGAACAAACTTCACAAGACACGGTGTCAGTCCTCGCCGATGTCCTTCCTGCAGTGGGTGCCCCGTACAAAGAGGGCAGCCCAGCCTCACCTGGGACCTGCCCCATTCCTGTTCTCATCAGCATTCAAAGCGAGGTTGTGTAGGAAGAGAAGGATCTGCCACCACATTCGATTTTGGTTTTGCTGGTGCTGGAAAGGAAAAAAAAAGATCAATGTAATTTCTAAACGTAGCCTGTAGCCTCAACGACTCCTTATCATTCCCAATAAAAGTTCAGATCAAAGCATCTGGGGACAGCACTTTAATCCCATCAGGACAGCAAACTGAGGAGAGGAAGGAGGATTTGGGGTGGGGGGATGAGAAGAGTGGCGATGAGGGGGAGATAGTTGAGTTCTCCAAAAAACAATTGCAGTTTTAACATTAAAAAGAAAAGTCCAGGCTCTTTATGCACTGTGCACAAGAGGATTAAACTTTTTCCCCTGCTTGCAGGATTTTCCAGAGTTTAGCCAAGTGCTGCTTTTAATCAGATTGGCTCCTGAGCCCCTCAAACCTCAGCTGCATGAACAACAAACTTTCTTCAGAAAGAAAGAGAAGAAGTGCCCCCCTCGCTCCCCCAACTCCAAAGTAACACAGAGAACAAGGGGGAAAGGGGGGGAGGCTCCATCTGCAAGTGATTTGACACTGTGAAGGTCAAAGGGTTAATCTTCAATTTAAACCACACTGCTGAGGCAGCAAAAATCTGATTTCATCCAGTGCAAACACGCACACACACACACACACACGCACGCACACACACACACACACACACAACTTGTGCACCCGCCCTCTCTCCCTTCCCAGCATCTCCAGCTCAGTGCTGCCCTTTTTATAGCTACTCTTGACAGTAAGCCATAAATAATCCCTCTTGGAGCGCTTTCCTACTGACTGGAGCCAATTAAACGTTAAGCAAGAACATACTTGAAAACAAAACAAAAACAAAGAATGCACACTACTCTCTGGAGGTTATCCCAGGTCCTACCGTCAGGCAGGGAAGCTGGGGGCAAAGGTCAGGGGTCAGTGGCTCCCAGGGCTGGGGCTAGTGCCTCGCCCACACAGGTACCCTTTCCCAGGGGCCAGCGGAGGCCCCCCGAGGGGACTGGGGTGCTGGAAGAGGCGGTCTTTGTTCTCTCTCTGTCTGCCAGGGCAGGAGGACTGGATTGGGGCCCTCTCCACGGGGTCCTCGGTGCATAGGGGAATAAAAAACCAGCATGCAGGAAGAAGCCAGCATGGGCTGGACCGGGATCACTGCAGTGGCCCCGCAGTGAGTGCGTCCATGTGAACCGATAGCAGAGCCGGGGCCCTTCTTGGGCTGTCTTTAACCACTGCCCCGGCCCCTAGGTCTCCGATGAAGGGGACAGGCTAAGTCAGGGGCAGAACGGAAAGTGGGCCTAGGTCTCCCGCACCTTCAGAACTTGGTGGGAGCAGCTGGCCCTGGCCTCCCGGACTTTGCCCCAGGCGACCGTGCAGGTTTTGTGGTGCCTCCCCTCCCCACCACCTTGGGCCACTAAGGGAAGAGAGGTGACCCATGGACTGAGGCTGATCTCAGGGCCTTGCCGAGGCAGGTGAACAGAACGCCCCCCCCCCAATCTGGGGCAACAGCGTGCCCCTTGCCCCTGTGGAAGGGACGCTGGAAAACCTCCCAGAAAGCTGGAGTCCCGGCTACTGCAAGGAGGGGAAATCCGGGTGTGCCACAGAGGAGTCCTGGCAGACTGCGCAGGAGACTGATGGCTTCCTTGTGTTTTGTAAACAAAGATGAGTAAAAAGAGGAAACACAGCCGGCTTAACAAAATCTGGTTAGAGTAAAGCAGCGTGAAAATGGACTCAGCTGCAAAACCTGAAGGCTCCGGCCTGCCTGCAGCAGCTGGGCTGGGCACCCCTCCTCCTGCTTCCCGCCCCCCCAGCTGCTGCCCAGGACAGGTGCAAAGGTCATGTGGCGGAACGGGAGGAAAATCCAGGAAAAGACTGGTCCCCGGAGAGGCCAGTCTGCTGGAATTCCAAGTCTCCTCAGGTGCCTATTTGAAAAGGCCAAGTAACAATAACAACCACAGTCATGACAAGAATAGTAACACTGAGTGTGCCAGGCTCTGTTCTGAGTGTTCTACATCCTTGCTTCTCAAAGTAGGGTCCGTGGACCAGCAGCCTCGGCATCCTCTGGGAGCTTACTAGAAATACAGATCTACTGAATCTGAATGTGCATTTTTAACAAGATCCCCAGGTGACTTGGAGACACATTAAACTCCTTTGGCCCTTCTCGACAACCCTATGAGATTATTATATATCATCATCCCCATTTTACAGATGAGTACATTGAAAGAGTTTGATAACTTGGCCACATGGCTACTAAGTGGCAGGGACTGGACTGAATTCCAGACCACCTGGCCCTAGAGCGATGTCCTTACCCATTATCATCATTCTCTGAGCATCACCATACATCTTTATGCCAAAGCAGACCCTCTCTCCTCCCCTTCTCTAAATCATATCAAAATAGCTCAATGGCCAAGGAAAGGAGATCACAATTCTATGATTTGGGGCCTGGGCCAATCCCATTTCTGTATGCCTCAGTTTTTCCCCAAATGCCCCTCATGGAGGCTGCCTGCTGCCTGGGTTACTTCCTGGGCCCTGAGGTGTCTGGGGATGAGGCAATGCAGCACCCTCACTCCCATCATTTGGAGGGGTTGGGGGGCCCAGAAGCAGCTACGGGCCAGAGAATGCTGTCAGAGTGGAAGGCTGAGGTCTTGTTGGGAGACACAGGCAGGCCTAGATGCAGGAGGCCGGGCCCACAGGCCCACCGTCACAAAGGACCCAAGTCCCACGTCTCTGCCTGTGACAGGCCTCTGGGTACACGGATCGGCAAGGAAGGCTCCCTGGGCCAGGAATCAGAGGACCTGGCTGTCGGCAGCGGCTTCCCACCAGCCTGTCTGTGAGTCCTCACTTCCCTTATAAGAGAAATGTAGGCATGGTATGAGATCAGTGGTTCCCAAACCTGACCGTGTCACGGAATCCGCTGACGTGCTGTTATAAATACAGAGTCCCAGGGCTCCACCTAGACCAACTGGGTCAGAATCTCCAGGGAAGCGGTCCAGGAATTTGTACATTGAACAAACTCTCTGGGTGACATTTATTTTATTTATTTAATTTATTTATTTATTTATTTATTTATTTATTTATTTATTTTTAAGATTTTATTTTTTTAAAGTAATCTCTACACCTAACATGGGGCTCGAACTCACAACCCGGAGGTCAAGAGCCAAACGCTCCACCGACTGAGGCAGCCAGGTGCCCCAGGTGACATTTTTTAAATCAGAGGTAACATTTATTGTATATTTTAGTCATCGAAAGTAATACATGTTAACTGTAGAAAAATTGGAAAACACGAGACACGAGAGAGAAGAAAGTAAAATCACTTGTGATCCTATAGCCTGGAAGAAAACACTTCATGATTGGGTATTTTTTTCAGTCTCTTTCAATCTCTTCCCATCAGAATAATGACTTGGCCAAGCCAGAGGTAAATCCTGCCCAGGTGGTTCTGAGGCAGCCAGGCCACAGACAGGCATCTGGAAACCACGGAGGAGCTTTCCAACCCTAAGGTTTATGACGTGAAGTTTGTCATCCACAATTACCTTCAGGATTACTACTCCGAGCTCCAACAGCTGAATCCAGCCAGCCTATTGGAGGGTCTGGGTGAGCCTGGAGGCCAGGCTGCCTCGTACAGAGTTAAGCTGGCTGCGTGGCAGCCGTGAGACCAGCAAGACCAGCAAGAGCAGGGCCCGGTAACCAGTCCTCAGCCTCGGTAGCCCCTGCTCTGGGCACAAGCAGATGCCACACAAATTCCACTTAGCCTTCTCTTGCCACAGGTCAGCCCCCGAAAGGCCTTCTTCCTCAACCAAGCTGCCTCACACCAAAACTATCAAAGAATGCCCTGATTATGAGGAACAACAATAAAAACAATATTTAAAAAAAAAATTAAACAAAAGGGCCTGACCAGAAAAGAAAGAAAAAGGACATGAAGGGAGGCTGGTGAGAGAAACAGTAAGGAGGAAGGAAATCAACATTCACCGAACAGGATGAGGTACACAAAGACACCCAAATGCCAGAGAACATGGATCCTTCCACCAGAAGGTGCGGAGAAGCAGGGGAGAAGGAAGGGGGAAGCGGGAAAGAGTATGCTTGGCCTCTGATGTTCAGGCACTTGGCATAGTACGGAGCACAGAACCTGAGCTCAGTGAGTGCAGATCCCCAGAGCAGGGCCCAGCTCTCCCAGACTCAGCTTGAGCACCCTTCTAAGTCTGGGAACCTGCAAAAAGTGGGAGTTCTAAGAAGGCACAGTCAGGGTACCCTTAGGGATAGGGGACTGAGGTACAGGGGATGGGAAACCGCTGGGAATTGAAGCTTACAGCAGAAGGCCTCAAACTGAGAGTGTAGAGGGTAGGACCAAGGCATAGGGGGGAAAAATAGAGGTGAATGCCCCAAGAGAATGGGATCCTACACGGTGGATAAGAATATCCTCTTCAGTTAAGAGAGCACAGACAGGCATTACAGACCTAGGGCTCTTCTTTCTCCAACCCCATTTCTTTTCTTTCTTTTTTTTTTTTTAAAGATTTTATTTATTTATTTGACAGAGAAAGACACACAGCGAGAGAGGGAACACAAGCAGGGGGAGCGGGAGAGGGAGAAGCAGGCTCCCTGCCGAGCAGGGAGCCCAATGCGGGGCTCGATCCCAGGACCCTGGGATCATGACCTGAGCTGAAGGCAGACGCCCAACGACTGAGCCACCGAGGCGCCCCTCTCCATCCCACTTTCTTGCTGTGGTCCATCACCTGACAAGGGTTCGAGTCAGCCCCGCTGTATATAAGGCACAGCAACTGAATGCACAGCCACGCATCCTGTGTAATGGGGAGCATGCAGGTGCCCACAGTAGGTACTCAGCAAGTGCATAGTGGACCAACTACAGAAAAGTCAGCCTTGCAAGATAACCCACTTGTCTGAGGGCAGGAACAACTGATGTCTGGCCAGGACTAAAGATGTACTCCATGTGATAGTATCAGCCTCTTGCCTGGGGAGAGGCCCAACTAGTAAAAGACTTTTTTTCTTCTTCTTCTTCTTTTTTTTAAAGAGCTGGCTGTAGTGTCTGACAAGGTTGGATTACACAAAT